GAAAAGCAACGAGTAATGTCAATTTAGTCTTTTGCCAGACCCATTTTTGAGTGGGATAATAGGTGAAAAGCTATAATAAGCTGTTTTCATTCTCAGCATTTTGGTGGAAAATAAGTTGTCAAAAGAGATTTTTTTTAAAGGCTAAAATAATTGCATGCTGTATGTGATTTGCTCTCTTGTTCAGCTTGAGTTCATTATTGATCCTCTAGTATTTCTTGTGATGCCTGTTACCTGTAATGATCTAGTGTACAAATAGCCTTACATCTGTAATTTTGTCAAAACATCTCATTTATAAAATTGCCTCCTGAGATATCCATGACCTCACTTCATTAGATACATTGTTATGTCACCAGCCAACACAGCTGAGCAAAACGGAGTTTATTTTAATAAGTAGCAGCACTGTTCCAGTTCTACATGAAATCAAAGGCGAATGAAGAAATCAGTTTAAAAGGAATCAAAAGTTTCCCAAGACTATTTTATTCTGTTTCAAACATTCAAATTTCAAGCTCATGCTTTTGTAGGAAATTTTAATACAATGATTTTAGGCTGACTACAGAAGAGCACTTTGAAACTTGCAGTTTGTAAACACTGCTTGTGGAAGGTGTTGCAACAACTAATTAACTTTAGGTAGTTCCGTGCCCGAACTGCCCATTTATGTAGTCTGGGATGAAATTAGTAAAATTAGTTACACTTTATTTAGAATATAAGGAAAATAAGTAATTTATCCCGGTATGACTGTTTTGTCATATGTTCTAAATAAAGTATTGTTAATTTTGCTCTGCCACTTCAAAACAAAAGGGGATCTTGCAAAACTGTGCTAGTTACATAAAAATAAGTTATACTACAGAAGAACCATGGGGAAGCTCTGTGCAATGCCAAATATTCCACAGAAGAAATATAGAGCCTTCAACACCTAGCAGTATTATGGCTTCTACTTGGAAAAACCTTGTGACTGAGTGGAATTTTTCCTTTTTGTGGAAAAATCCACAATAAATGTTAATGTAGCTGATGTGATGGATGACTTATACTTTCTTGTTTGTCACATCGAGTCGGTATGTGAAATCTGAAAAATTAAATAGGATCTGCTGGAAACCTAGTTTCATGTTTAAGGTCTCTTCTGCACAGGGGATTAAAGAAGAGTTCTTATTGCCTGTTCTGTTTCATTGGTCTGGGAGAATGATGGGCAGCAATCTGATCAGGAGAGCAAGTTTAGCTAACACCTCAGTTCTTGAAAATCCAGGCTGCTGTGCCTGCATGCTGTGATATATATATAGTTATTCTTTCTAATAATTTATTATTATTATATATTAGTGGGAAGAGTTTCAGGTTTTATTATGATTTAAAATGGGTGGTGGTTGAGGACATATGAAAGGGAAGAGAGGGAAAAGGATGCTGTGGAAGGACAAAGGTTGAAGTCTCAGGGAGATGACATGCATTTAAATTATCCATCTTCCTTCTCCTAAAGCTTTTCACATGTAGTGAATATGTGTGAGAGTTGCTCTTACTGACAAAATAATGGTAAGATTCAACTTTTAAAATTTTTCTTTTTCCGCATACACTGACCGCTTCACAATTGTACCATGACCCTTCATATGAGGAGCAGAATAATTGATGCCTTGGTAGCACACTAATGATATAAAATGTCATCTCTTTTCTGAGGACAACCAGATTATTCAGGTTCAGAATATTCTAGCTAAAATTCATTTATACTTCTTTATTTTTGTCTTTTAGAAAAACATTAAGTGCACAGCTGTATTTTCCTTCAGACTGATGTGATAGAGGCAGCTGCTTTACCGATTGCTTCAAAAAGCAGTTTGCTGAAAACAACTTTGTATCAGTTATATTTATTAATTGAAATTATCATAAGAGTTCATAATATATTATGGCTGTGGATATTAGTATTTATCGGTATATGAAGTTAAAGATTCCAGACTAATCATGTTGTGATCGATTCATTACGTGTCTTGGCTGATCTGCTTTTTCTAACTTTCAGCAAGCAGAAGATGGACAGAGAAAGACAGAAATGGATGAAAAGAACAAAAAAAAAGGGGGGGGGGGAGAAGGGAAAAAAAGCAACATGAAACCACAAATTATCATGGTATCACTGAACCAGAATTTGGGAAATAATTGTCAAATCTAGGGGTTTATTGCAACTTTCCTTCTAAAACTGTAGCCTCCTGCACCTCATTTCAATATCTGACACATTTGGAAGAGTTATGCAAAGGAAAGAAGCCCTTCATCAAGCTGTCTGTCTCACCTATCTCCCTATGAAACGCATAATCAGAGAGTACTTACATCAGCTTCACAGCCCTGGACATTAAAGTGACTTGTTTTTATCTCCTCATGCAATTGCTTGTTTTGCTTCTCAACCAGACAGTGCTGGGCACGCTCTGTCAAACACCAGGTTCTCACACTCTTATCTGACCCACTTCAGATTCATACAACCGTCTTTCAGAAATGATTTTCCATGCTACTGCACCATGTAATCCCTCAGAAAGCTCCTACTCTCCATTGCCTTTCCTTATCTTTAAGCAATCGGTGTTTGATAGCATTTTTGGAAAGAAAAACTTCAGAAAATGTTGATACCAAAGTAATATTTCTGGTTTGGAAACTCAGACTGGTGAATGAGGTTGATTGATTTTGAGATAAGTTGTGTCTCATGTTTGCTGAGATCAGAACACAAGCGTGTGTAAATATGTCAGATCCTGTCTGACGGAGGTGCCCACTAAACGTAGGACAAAAGTCCCTAAATACTGCAATGTGAAAGACTCTTGCAAAAAAGAGATGATGTTTGTTGTTTGCTTTTGCTGAGTTTACTGGTTTACAGTTTGGTTTTCTTTTAAAAAAAAAACAAAAATTGAGGTTTGTTTTTTGTTGTTTTTTTTTTTAAGCATCTGGTAAGTATTTTTAGAACATAAAAATATCCTGTGAATATATCCAGTGAAAACATCCTTCGGATACTGTGTGAAGCACTTTTTTCCACTAGAGATGGTAACTGCTTTAAGTTATTCTTTCAGCTTTTTGAGAATAGGACTCTCTTCAAAAATGCCATTTTTTTTCAGTGAGCAGTAAGATCCCCCTTCTTATTGTCAAAAATTTTAGGTCTTCTCCAAACTATTGTATACTTAGTTTTCTGCTGTCACTTCATTAGGAACTGCTATTTTACTGAATCACGGGGTGATGTTTTAAATCTGTAGAGTTTTTGGAGTTGTAAAGGCCTATATTGTGAAAAATTAAATTATTAAAGAACTAAAATAATGCTCAAGTCCCTACCAAGTGGACACTGGCACTTTTTTTTCCGTAAGCCAAGAATGATTGCATCGTGGTAAAACTTGGATTATCTGAACAACCCCACCAGGAGATTACATACATTTTAGTGAATATGTATATATATGACTTTAAGCAGAATCCTCTGTGCAATTTCAGTAGAATGGCTTGCAGTATTACAGGTTCTTCACAAGGAAATGGAGATGCTCTTTATAAAACAGTGGAGGGTATTGCTTCATGCTGAGGACAAGAGTGAATTGAGAATAAAAGAAATCAGAGTGATAATATTTTATTGAGAGATGTAATTGAGAAATACTCTACGTGGCCTGTGAGCATCCCAAAGTGCTGGAATTGCCTCTGTATCTTAATGAAGCTGTTTGCCACCTAAGCCAAAAGGACTATCCAGAATAACACCAGTTACAATGACAAATCAGAAGTGGCAGCTGTCATTTGATGAATGTCTCTGTCTCAGTAGCGCTCATGGGGAAAAGAAATAAAGAGAATCATAAAATCATAGAATCATTTAGGTTGGAAAAGACTTTCAGGTCACTAAGTCAAACTGTTAAACTAGCACTGACAAGTTCATCACTAAACCATGTCCCTAAGCATCACATATACCTGTTTAGGCGAAAGCTGCTTTAAAAACATGATGAAGGATTTGGGGAGGGCCATTCAGATTTCATAACTGGTTTCTCCTTCTTGCTAGTCTTTTGTGGTTATGGACTTGCATCGTGTCTGTGTGAGTGTGTTTTAGGCAGGCAGGGTTACCAGAGAGGTTGAGATTTGTGTCTCTGCCCTTATATTTTCAATAGTCAGATAGTGATGCTGAGCTCAGAAAAACTGTTTCATACATTGGCAGTGAAGAGGGAGTGCAGGGAGCACTGATTTATCCACACTGATTTGCCCTCCCCTACAACCATCAGTCCTGTGAGGATGAACACTGGGCTGCCTGAGTAATCTTGAAGACCAGAGATAATGGTTTTAATCCTAGTGGTCAAGTGAGCAGCCAGAATTAAGTACTGTAGTTCCATTTAATTAATGACAAGTGTATTTTGCTCTATTTTAGGGAAGCTGTCAGTTTGCGGCTGTGGAGTGAAACACTAACTTGGTACCAAGCAGAGTTACAAGGTTTACCTCCTAGCTTAGATTCCTCCTGGAAATTTCACAGCTTCCAACCATGATAAAACACATTATACAGGATCTCCAAAGCAATTTTATTATATTTATGATTATTAAAAAAGGTCTAGTTCTAATGGGAAACCTGAAGTTCCAAACTGGCAGTATGAACACAACTCCTGCCTACCACTTCCCCTTCAGAGAACAAGCAGTTGTTTTCCAGAGCATTAATATTCAGAGCAAGTCCAGTTCATCTTACCTGCTGGGTTCATTTTATTATATAATAAAATCTGATATATTCTCATTTCTATTTAGAGTACACAGCCATATAAGCATAAGCTGTTTATAAACACTTACTTTCCAAGTAACATAATACAATACCTACTCTCTTAGGTATTTCTGAGGAATACCAAATGTTGCTCACCAAAGGGCAGAGATAAAAAGCAGTGCTTTGGATCTGAACATTGTGCCTGGAGCTAATCACTAGTTAGGCTGATACCTTCTCAGTTCTTCAGTCTGAAAAAATAAAATAAAATTAAAAAGGGGCCTAGTATGTTTTCTCAGTGAACTTCTCTGAGTCTGATAAACCTAACTCTCTCTTTATATTTTACTTACAGAATGGTCTTATCGTTGCCTGTTACCAAGGTTATGTGGATATTGTAATAGCCTTAGCACAATGCCCACACCTTGATGTGAACTGGCAAGACAATGAAGGGAACACGGCTCTCATTACAGCTGCACAGGCAGGTAAGGCTCTTTGTTTCACCTCTATAACATGCAGGATCTTAGGAGAAGTATGTGTTGTGGCTGTTATTTTTAGGATTTTTTCAAGGCACTGAAATAAATTAGTCTGTGTGAAATAATCCTGGACAAGTCCACTCCTAAGTAAGTCTGCCATGATTTTCTTTGAAATAAATAGTCGAATAACAGTAATATTTATCCAATGAATTAAGACAGGAAAAGCCCTAAATTTCTAGTAGATACCATTAACGTAAAGAAAATCTTTTGTGTGTACTATAGTGCTTTGTTTCTTTAAGCTTATTTTCCTATGTTTGCTCTGGCAAGCAACCAGTCAACATTTTGGTCATATAACATGCAGTTTTAGTGCTGATAGCATCTCTTTTCTCATGCTTGTGGCACCAGACTCAGCAGGTCTGCAGTAACAGAAATATCTTAGCTGTTAAGACATTCAACCACTCCATAAGTAAAAGCAAAAAGCCCTTAACCCCTGTTTACATAGATTTTACAATCTCACCAGGGTCTAGTGTTTGCCAATGCTGCTTTTATAACAGACATGTTAATCCTGATGCAGACTGGAGTGAGAGCAGAGTTTATATCTCCAAGTTTTATTTTGTCCCACCCAGCATGGTAATATTCAGTGGATAAGTGTAATAAAGCACATGAATGTAAGAGATGGTCCCCAAAGAGTTACTAGTGTACAGTTAAAAAGCCATCAGATGATTATTTTTGTTAAAACTGCAACACTGTGCTTTAACCTTTAAGTGAAGCTGCAGTTTTCCCCTACAAGTGTTAATAAAGTGCTAAAGCATGTAAGTGAAGAAAAATTTAACCAAGTAGACCATCACGTTGTAGTCTAAAGCTATTCCAAGGCTGCCTGTCTCTGCATCAATGGTTTCCTTTGCATTCCTCAAGCATGCTCCTCAAAGGCAACTTTGCAAGGAAATGCATATCTGGTCTTTATCATGTCTTCTCACTATTGAAGAATATGAAATGTTCATGGGAGTTCATGGGACATGGTATGACCTCCCATATCCTGGTTGCCTGCAGGAAACAAATTTCCACCAAGCAGTGTCAATGAACATTAGAAGCCGTGTCTTAAGACTGAAGCAGTTTGGTTTTGATGCTAATTTAATAATATTGCCACTAGACACTTCCAGATAGTACCAAACTTTGCTTTTTGTTGCACCAAAAAGTGAAATCCACTAAAGAAGTCACTGACAGGTAGGTCTTGGATACTGGAAGAAAGAATTGCAGCCACAGTAAAGTCCCTAGCAAAGTCATGAGTATAGTAGTTTTCCAAGTGGAGAAGTCTCCAAAACTAAGCAAAGTCATGAGTATAGTAGTTTTCCAAGTGGAGAAGTCTCCAAAACTAAGCTACTTGTATTTATCTGCCATAATATAAACTTTGACTGTAAAAGGTTTAATACTGACTCCTTCCTGACCTTTATAACTCATGGTAATGAGCTCAGAATTAATCCAGAGAGCTGACATTGACTTGACACTCTCTGCCAGTACTTGCTATTGATCCCCAAAGCAACTGGAAGTGACTGCAGTCAGCAGAAGCTAATACAAACTCCTAGCAACTTGGATGTTTTCCCCTGCCTGTGATAATCCTGAGCTACAGTGTTGACACCAGTTATTTAACTCATTATCACAACATACTGCTGTAGTGTTAATAGAGATTACTGTGAGGTGAACGTTGCAACCAGAGGAGCTACAGTGCAATAGATGCTGCTTAATTATTGCTAAATGTTTAGTAGTATTATAAAGAACTGAAAGCAAATGTTATGTGAGCTTTCCTTTAGTGGAGGATTTGTTTGTTGCGGGTTTTTTTTTATACCAAAAGTATAGGATTTCCTATGGAAAGTCTAATAGCAAATCCACATTATTTCAGTTAATGGTAAAGTGATATCAGAAGGTTTCAGAAGGTGCTGCCACTGTTGATATGACCAGGTGTGACATCAGACCCTGAAGAGAAGCTGGATGGGAAAGAGGCTGCAGTCCTGAGGGATCATTCTTTGTGTTTCAGAGGCTGCATCTGTAACATGAGGTACAGATACTAAGGGAGATGGAAGGGAGGCCTCTTTACTTTTGCTAGAGAAGTTTAAAATCCACACTTGCCTGAAACCTGGGTTGTTTCGTGACTGCCCAGACATGATGCTTAAATCTGAGCATTAGCTTGAGTTAAGTAGAATTATCTTAAAGACCAGACAGAGTCTCAGAAGAGAAGTGAATTCAATTCCTTATATTGATTTTGGTAATTTAAGATCTTTATCCTTCAAAGAAAGTATCTAAAGCTGACATTTTTTTGCATGGGCTGACCCATGCAGAGAATGATAGGCTGGAGTGATCAGTGAACAGCAGTGCTTTCACGACAAGTTTAATAGTGTAGAAAAGTAACCACAAAGTTCTCTGCTTAGTGTGTAAAATTCAGGTTTGAGAACTGCTCTGTTTACTTGCATTCTCAATGCTTCTTACAGAGGTGGGATCCCTTCTCAAAGAGTGCTTACCTTACAAAACTGTAAATTCATTGCAGCCTGCAGCAGGTGGTGCCCAAAAATGGTTGGTGATGCTGTTAAAAAAGCAGAAGCAAAATCATTAAATGTCAGTACAAGAACAATGCAGGAAAAAATATGGGAGATTGATGTAAACAAGAGACTGAAATAACAAGTGGAAAGAAAGGGAGGAGAGTGGTTTCAAAAAAATGGAAAAGGAAGGAAAATCACATTACCTTGTTTTCCTCTCCGTTCTGCTGCTGCTGAGGACACAGCTACATAAGCAGCAGTGTCTGGTAACTGGCATGCACTGGTGTTTAGAGAGAGTTCTATTTATTTTCTCACAAAGTATAGACGTTTTATGTTACAGGGGCCAGTTTGAGGCAGTGCTGTGGAGGCAGCAACACAAAATCAGGATTTATCCCAGTTTCTATTTATTAGGGGAGACACGAGAACACAAACACCCATTCAAAGGATAAAACATTCTGGGTATCTTCAGTTCCACCCATCCAGAAAAAAACATTCACCACCCATAGGCCAACCACAGGCTTTTTGCAGGTACAGTTTGAAATTGTAGATGTTATATGACAGAGCATCTTCCTTATACAGCTTATCCTTCTGCCTTCATTACATAGATTATTAGGTAATATTGCTGTTCATTATAGGCAGCAATTAAGTGAATTAAGCTATTACAGACCTCTGTGCTGATCTCTAAATATGGCTCACAGGGCAAGGAAGTGCAACCTTAGCATGCCAGTTCTGGTAGAAGATAGATCTGGCTTACTAACAGCAAAAGCCAGATACAAATTCAGTATCACCAAACTGGCTGAGGCCAGGCTAATTTGTTTTAGAACTGCATACAGCTTTCATAGCAGACTTTAAATCATAGAAGCCTCACCTGGCTTATGATTTAGATATGCGCTTCTAGTTTGCCGAGACACAGGAGAACTGAAGCAAACCTTATGGCCTTAAATCAAAAGTGTTTGACAGGGTTTGAGCAAAAACTTGGCAACTCTGAGCTCTGCTTTGAATTTGATATGTTTGAACTAGAAATTTGAAGCAAACCCCAGAGGACAGAAGCTCCTGCAGATTAAAACTGAAGTGGTTTTCAGGAATCCCTGAGACACAAAACTTCTGAGAACCACAAACCTCTTCATTTTCTTTGTTATTTCATTGCTGGTATTTTTTCTGTCTCATTTGAGGTCATCTGTAGCCCCCTGGGGAAGTTTGGCTGAGCAAGGTCTTTCAGAATTGACTCTTAGGATCATCCCAGATTTGCAAAACGTCTTTTACTGCAGCTAGGCTTTTGGCAAAGGGAAGAACATCTTTAGAAATATAACAACTGCTGAAAAATCTTTCATCTTGCTATTTCTCTGTGTTTCAGTTCCTGTCTCCAGTTTCTGTGATCAAAAAGCAGTATTTCAGCTGTTCCAAAATCTACATGAAGACACACACTGAAAATCATTGAAACACAGCATGTCCTGTAAAACAATTTGGGCACAAAGATTCTCCTGGGAGTAATTGATACCTTGATAGGATTTGATCTTATTCCATAAAGACAGCTTGTGTATTGAGTAAGCAGGACTGGGTCACTTGATCCCACCCTGCACCCAGTTCACCTTTTCTTTGTTCAGCTTCTTGTAGTTTGCCTAATATTTATATTTCATTTGCATCAGACTGTGCAAGGTACAGAGAACTCCTTAGTGGGTTATCTCTGATTCTGGCATTGCTGAGCTGATCTGCACTATCTCTACATCTGCTCAGGTTTCAGGACAGTTTCCAGTTATTGTGCAGCAAGGTAGCCAAGGCCAGGAAATTCCAGGAAATAAAGGAAAACGTCTTAAATTATTTGGTAAAGATTTTCTTAACTTGCTTTCCAAAGTGAATACAGGACTATGTTGGTACAAAGTGACTGCTGAGGAAATCTGCACCAGATGTGACACCATAGACTTAAAATTGTCCTGTATGAATTACAATCTGCATCAGTAACACTTCTATATGAATCTGAATGACATGCATCACAGGATATTCAGCTGGACTACAGAGTGAGATAAGAGAATATTTTCACAGCTCCTGGTAATTAAATTGTGATTGTTGCAGCTGCCTGACAGACTGCATTATTTCATAAAGCATCAAAGCATCATAAAATGAATGACAAGTGAAGAGAAAACTGGTTTGAATAAGTCATAATGGCACTAGATATTCTTCTTGTTCTGATAGTCCAATTATAAAGACTTGATGTTTTAATTGGTCTTCCAACCATTTAGCCAGAGATGTCTTCATCTACTTGGTACACGCTTTGACACCAGTTACTTCGGTATACAAGGCACATGAATGGCACAAGTGTTGCTTTTAGAAACAAAATTTATTAGTACCAAACCTGAACATCAGCCCCATTTTATTGTTGTTGGAGAATAGACAAGTGGCTTTACACTGCCAGAAAAATAAAAATGTGGGGTTTCTGTATCTTATTAATTATCTGCATTTTTTCAGTTATCAAACCTGCAGGAGTAATTTTTGGTTTAACCCTGAGACAGAACTTTAATTCTGTGGCACATTATCTCTGCTTTTTCTTTTCTTTAAAGGGCACATAACCATTACAAATTACTTGTTGAACTATTTTCCTGGGCTTGATATTGAGAAGAGGAATGTGTTTGGATTCACAGCACTGATGAAGTCTGCAATGCAGGGCCGAACTGAATGTGTGAAAGCCTTGATGTTGGCAGGTATGCAAAGTGCTTCGTTGCTTCTTCATCATCATCTAACTGTAAATGCTAGACAGTCACATGCAAACACCAAGAAGAAAATTGTCTGTTTGGGTATTTACTCTGAGAGGTACATTGCCACCTTCCCTGGAAATGTGTGCAACATAAAGTCAGAGAGAAGGTGGTGAAGCCACGTGCTGCAGGTGCAGGAGCACTCAGTTTCCCCATGGAAACCCATCCAGGAGTTCTCCAAGTGCTCTCAGGATGAGATTCATTGTCTCCAGGAGGGTTTGGGGAGTGTCATCATCAAGATTTGTAGACAAGGAGTTAATGAAGTTCATGACACAGCTGGAGAGGACACACAGGTCTCTTGCTGCCAGTTCTCTGGGTGTGATACTGCAAGACTGTGTGATGGTGGTGGATCCACAGCCAGACCTCTGCATCTCTGCCCAGCCATGGCAGGTCTGGGGCAGGGAGTGGAGAGCTTTGAGGGCTCTGGCTCCCATCAGTAGAGTTGGGTGTAGGGTTCACATCCCATAGGGGACATTGGTGGTAAATCTGGCAACATAAGGAACAACCCCTCTTTCTAACCCCTCTACAAATCTGAGTTTGGTCTCAGGTTTATGGGCAATAGGGCACCAGCAGGTCTGTATCTGCTGGATGGAGGGAGTAGAGGCACAGGCAGTGAGCAGCTCCATCTCTGCCCACCTGCCTCTCTTCTCAGCTGAGAATAGGAAATATGTTTCTTGCTGTGGGCTCTTGACTGCAGTTTAATTTCCAGCTGTATGCATTTGCTAGGTGAAAGGATCTTGGAAAGGCAAGAGGCACTGGGGAAAGAGCCTCTACAGGAGCATTCCCAGCATACAGCACCTTTTAGACACAATGTTGTATGTTTTTATTACATTAAATAATTGGTATATACATTATTAGCTAATAATTAAATAACTAGCATATATTAGTATACGTTCTTGTAATTCAGTTGCAGATATTTGACACAAATCAAATATTATGGAAATTAATGTGAATATTGTTCCTGTCTAGACTGTGAATCCTACAGGTCCATTTCATTGAGAGAGACTTTGAATAAGTGGTTCATTTCAGTGATTTTGTTGTCACAGAAGTCTAACCCCCTTATAACATGAATATTTTAAGCTGCAGGCATTTATCAAGCATAGTGATATTACTGTCATTCATTTTCATGACATCTAGTTTCTAGGTGTTGATAAGACACAGGAAAAGTTTGGATGATGTGGTAAGCAGCATATTATTTTCTGCAAGGTTCTGTAGCCTCTTTTACTAAAATCAAGGCTTTGGAATGGGATCATTCATTTTGGAATTAATTTTTTATGACACAAAATTATAAGATGGCTGTCAGAGCTAGAGTACTGCTAGACACAGATGCACTTTCTGGACCAACACATACTTCATGCAGATACTATTTCCAAATTTTCCAGTGCCCATTATAAATTATCACTGAAAATGAAACTTCAATCCCAAGGCCTTATGAGCTGTCAAATTGACCTTACAGTGTCATGGCTTTCTGTTATTATCACTGGAGATCTGATGGAAGCTTCTTCTTTCTGCTTTCATCACTAGAAGCTATTTCACAACCTTTCCATCTTTGTAGATAACTGAGTCCTTGTTATTCTACTTCTTGTACAAAAAGTATTGGTATCAAGGTTTGCTATGTGTTTTCTGCCTCTGGCACCAAATAGCCACCTTCTTGTTTTCATGATTCATAAAAAACCAGAATATTAGGGAGAACAAAACTTTAGCCAGACAGAAAACGGCTTTGTTAGCCTGCATATCTGTATATGTTTACCTGTAGAAAGATGTATTGGCCTGTTAGTGCATGAGAGGTAGTAAGGATACCAAAGATCATGTATTGGTTAAAGAGGTGTACCATTACTATACACTGGTTTTAAATCGTAGTTTATATACATGTTTTGGTGAGTATTTTGCAGGTCCTCACATTTTTAGCTCAAAATAGAGGCCACACAGGAAGCATGGTAAATTTCTTGCACCCATTTTAATATCTGATTATATTTTAGCATTGTACACTCTGGTGAAATGTAGGGAGGGAAGGAGCTGCTCATTCAGAATGGATTTAGAAGTGTTCAGGACTTCAGAGATACTGAGTGGCAGCTGATAATAAGTGCTAGTTTGCTGAAGAAGATGAAAGAAATTGTTATTAAAGACTTGCTGACCAAAAGATCGATTTCACAAGGAAACCAGCAAAATTCCATGTTAAAACATGCATGGAAATAACAGGAGGAAAACACCCATAATCAGCTGTGGGTCTACTTGCACAGAAAATGCGTTACAGCCAGTAGGGTTTTAAACCCAGTATTTGTTTAGGGACTTGGGTAAGAGCTCTCTTGACAGGCCCCTACTTATGGCAATGCAGGAGGAAAGTAACTCACCTTCATAGCCCCCTAAGCACGAACTTAACACAGTCAGATGGGCAAGAGGTAAGGGCAACGTGTGGCAGATGATTGGAGCTGGCTTGTCAAAGTGACTGCTCTTTCTGGTATTTGAGCTCCTGGAGGGTGGCCAAGGTCAATCATTACAAGATTAAGGCGCTCTGAGACACTTGGACATAATGCTGTTCTTTCAAAGTGAGTCTTTGGAACATCTGAATGTGCTATTCCTGAGTGCACAGCGAGTTAGGGGGGAACTCAGTCACTCACTGGCAGTTTGTCACAGGCTGCTGCACTGCCAGGACTGCGCTGATGACAGCATTCAGCAAGCGAGCCAGCCCGAGCAGGAACACAGAAATGCTGGTTGCAGTTCATGTGTCAAGCCCTGCTGTAATCGCCAGTGTAAACTCAGTGCTACTTTAGTAAAGTCATCAGAGTGGCTGTGGATCTGGAGATTGGTCTTTAAATACCACATATAAAACAAGTCAGTAACAGATGCTTCAGCTCTTTCACTCCCTATCTTTAAACTCCGGATGTCAGTTTTGCATCAAGAGGGACATTAAACCTTCTTAATCAAATAGGATATCGGTATCCCAAAGGGGCATCTGTATTCAAACTAGTTGTGCTGAAAATGATCTTAATGCAACTTTCGTAGGAAAATCAAGGCAACTGGCAAAATGCAGTTTTTCTAAAAGAAAACCTGTAGGCTATACTTACAGGGAAATGACAGTTCAATGAGACTGCTATCACATTTTAAAAGGGACATGACTATTCATGTCTCCTCCAGATGGGGCAATCTGCTGAATGACAAGGCTGTTCAGAAATGTCTCCTGATCTGTACAGAGAATCAATACCGCGGTAGTACATCATGCCTTAGAAGTGGTTTTGTGGTATAAGGTACAAATTGAAAGATCGGAATTTCAATACTCTGTAGTACTGTTTCCTGAGATACAGTTTATGAAACACCTAGGGACACATCTGCCAGGGAGCAGCAGGATTGGGCTTCTTTTCAAATGGAGGTAAGCCAAGGGTGACAGCAAGGCACACAGAGGCACTAGCCTCATCAACGAAGGTGCTTCTTGAAGAAACAGAGCAGGGCTGGTGAAAATAGCCAGGATCAGCCAGTACTGCAGTGATTGACAGGCAAGTCCATAGAGTTAAGGTAAGTGTGAAGTCAAAACAAGAAATTAGGTCTGTGAGTGAGGCTCCAAATCAGCAAGGCATATGGCCAGGCACAGGCATAACTGTAACACTGCTCAAGCGAGGATCAGAGCTGAGTGTGTGAGCTTCAGTGCAGCCCCCAAGCAAAGACGAGGAGTCCCCAGTGGGCACTTTCCCTCACAGCTCTTTTTGCACGTCTCAAATCCAAGGTCATCTGCACCATATCGGAGCTGGCAGGTCTCTTTCTCAAAGGTAAAGGTAAGCAGCTGACTGTACCTCTTGCTTGTTTACAAGCAGAACATACTGTTCATTAAAATTTATATTTGGAGACAATTCCTTTATTTACTGTTGTCCCTGTGATAAATCCTTGCCTGTTGTGTGTATGACATGGAAAGAACTTCCACTTAATCTGCCATGTTCCTGGTCAGCTCTACTGGGAAGGAGTGAAGACCCAATCAAGTGTTAAGAAGCAACAGGACAAGAAGCCAGCCTGAGATTGGAGAGATTAAGGGGCAGGAAATTTGGGTAGGATAGTTCAAAGCAGGTTAGTGCAGCAGGAAGACATGTCTTTTTAAGTCTTTGCTCCTCCCCTCACTGATTTGTCTGACTTCTGCAGCCAGGAACATTATCAAACCCTGCTGCCTTTGAGATCTTGCAATCCTTTCTTCAGTCCACAGCTAATAAAGCTTTAATTTGATTAACTCTTCCTCCTCTATCTTCCTCTTCTTCGCCTCCTCTCTGCTTTCCAGTCTGGACCCCATCCTTGACTCCCTGCAGTGCCCCTGTGCTTTCTCTTTGAGTGGTCCTCGCTGAAAATTCCACTTAAATTACACTTAAACTGACATCAGGTCTTTTGCTTACAATCTCTCCATCCACATTTACTCTTGCTCTGTGTCTCTAGCATCCTTTTTTTAGGTATTTTTGCAGAGACTTAGGAATCTTGTCCATTACCCACTCTTTAACATATATGGAAACTTTCCTTATGTTTGATTACCCATGTCACCATCCTCTCAAGTCAGTGCAAACCCCATTATTTTTTATGGGAAGGATTCTTGTGTACAGAAGTGTTTCTTTCTGTATTCGTCACTCTTTTCATGCAAGCTCAAGTGAATGGATTTTAAAATGGCAGGCAACATTCAATGCAGTTTCAATTCTTTATGTCATTCTTTGCATTAAGAGAATTTCATATACGTAGCCTTAATTTCATCTATTTTCTTTCATTCTTTGCATTAAGAGAATTTCATATACGTAGCCTTAATTTCACCTATTTTCTTATTTTTTATTTTTCTGGCAGATCAGGAGTTCAGGAAGTTAGGAACCGGGTATCTCCTTATGGCATGTCCATTTGACACAAATATTATTGAGTTTCATATGTGACGTTTTCTTGTATGGATCTCCCTGATTCCACTCTGATCATAGCAACAAAAGTGCTGGCAGTTTCATTAATTAACACTACTTGGTTTTCTTTTCTTCGAGGGGCAAATGTTCATGCGACTGACCCAAGCCGTGGACTGACTTCATGGGAATGGGCTTGTTACACAGGAAGATCAGAATCTGCCTTCATCATGCAAAAGCTGATGGACAGGCCATGCCCGGAACAGCTTTGTGATCAATATAAACCAGAATGGCCAAAGATGAAGGAACTTCTTGCCAAGGCTGCAGAGCCAAAAAGCTGTTTGCAGAGGTTTTCTGAGTGCATGAGGGCAGCTATCTCATTCCGGTCTTTCTACGGCCCAGAAGCAGACGGGGTCCTTGACCATATGGTGAAGGTGACGACAAGTTTGCGCAGTCCTTTCATTGCCCTGTCCTGCCGGACTGTGTGCCCAGGCAGCCCGCCTTCTGTGGGGAAACGCAGACTGGCTGTGCAAGAAATCCTTAGGCAGCAGAGAGCCGAGGAGATCCGATCTCAGGACAAAGATCACATTAGCAGCTATGAGAAGCTATTTCAGAACTCCAAAGTCACGCTGATCCCCAAGAAGAAGGACCGGCGAGCCAGCCTGCAGCCCATCAGCCTTGCAGTATCTCAAGTGAACACCATAGCCACTAGGAAAGCAAGCCTCTTGCCACTCCACCTGCTCAGAAGGAGCAGCGTCAGGCCAGGATTTGTAATCCCCAAAGTCCGAGTCAGCAAGGCTCCTCCTCCCACCTTCCAGCCAGAAAAGTCTAGAAGGAGGAGCAGTGCAAAGGATGACCCCTATCTGCAGATTCCCAAGTGGAGGTACAAGGAGCTAAAAGAGGAGCGGAAGAAGGCAGAGGAGCAGGAAAAGAAAAAAGCAGCAGAGGCTCAAAAGCTGAAGCAGGTGTCTCCTGCCAGATGCAGGACCTGATTTAAAGGCAGCTTCTTAGAAGGTTTTTGAGCCATTAGTCTTGTTGTCTGAGCAAGATAACAGACTGAATGCCTTTGTGCATGCCCACTGCTCATGGAGATGGAATACTGAATAATGGCCTTTCAGGTGCAGAAACAGTGCAAGGGCTATGTTGTGGCATGTCTGATGGTGGAGCAGGAAGGTATTTTGAGGTGGAAGACTTACTAAGTTTGCCTGTCTGCTGTTGATAGGAAGTTGTCAGTGGGGCAGTCCTTTTGCAGCTTCCTTTTTTTTTCCAGTTCCAGGTGAATGACTGAGAAATGGCTTGAAAAACAGCATGTGTGAAGGGATCATGTTTTGTGTTTGTTCATTTTGTAATGGGCAAAATTAAGGAGTTGTGTGTTTGACACTAGGCTTTCCTCCCTCTCCTTCCTTAGGTAGATGTATTTCAAGGTTTTATAGTAATAATAAAAAGTTTAAAATATACCACAGTGTTGGTGGGCAGTGAAAATCCAGGTCTACAATCATTCTGGATATACTAAGCACTTTATTTTAATCCCAGTAATCAAAGTTTAAGACAGGATAGGTATTAAAATTTACAGCTCTATACAGTCTGTATGGATGCAGTTCTCAACGCTATTTTTTGTTCAGCTGAACAAAAAAAGGGCCGCATATGGAATACTTCTGTAGCTGAGGTATTCACATCCTCTGCAGGTATAAATCAGGGGCAGGAGTGATTTTTTTTGAGCAACAGAGAAGCTGAGCTAATGCCCCCATCACCTGAGATTTGCCACCCCCATTCATTTTCCTCGTATCTGCCATTTGTTGTCTCCTCTTTAGTCTCAGGGAATTTTTTGTCATTGTGCTTAACTGTGAAACAAAGGGAGATGGGGAGACATAGGTGGGGATTTTTAGGTTGATATTAAAGTTCCTGTTAAAAAAAAAACAGCCAGATTTATTGTGAACCTTTCCTGATTACAGCCAGGACAGGAAAATTATGCAGCTTATAGCAGTTCAAGCAATTTTCCCAGGTATAAAATCCACCCACATGCTACGAACATGCAGTCAGAGATGCAGCAGCTCGGCCACTAAATGTTAGGAAACTATGGCCAGATGTTGTTGTGAGCTTTGGTAGCATGCTTCTGGGTGCCCGAGGAGGGCAGTACCTCACCTCTCTCCCTCAACAAAGGGAGAATACCTTCTCTAGTATAGGAGTGCGACTCGAAGTGGCGATTCTCACAGGTTGCTGCATGTTCTTCTGGTCCACATTAAGGCTCCATTTGCCTTTACCAGCAGTCAGTCTGGCATGGCAAACCCTGGCAAATTCTGCTAAGGAAGGGCTGCAAACCTGCTGCTTGCTGAAAAAAAGACCACGCTTGTGAAAGCAGAGGTCACCTGCAAACAGCAAGTCATACATACAGCACTTTCTCAGGCTTTCCTCCCATTTGAAATGACATGTGCTGCAGTGTGTCCTAACATCATTACTCTGCTGGAACTCTGGCAGACCCCAGCTGCCACTGTCACCAGCTTCTCCATTCAATTAAAGGCAGGGAAAACTTTCCCATCCTTTACTCCCACAGCACAAAGGCTGTCTGTGGTCTCACTGAAGCTGTAATGAAACTGTGTATGTCATGGGAGAAATAAATTCAGTTGACTGAAAACTAGTGCCCAGATTGATATTGCCAGCCAGCATCTGCACAGTCAGGGCTTGACAGAGGTTATGGCAGACATGTGAAACAAGGGTTTTCCACACAGCCTGTACTTTTACTTTTTGCTGGAGTAGCTGTGCTGGCTGGACTGCATTGCCAGGGAGCCTCCAAGGTCAGAGCTGGAGGAATATTGACCCTGCTAATCAACCTTCCCAGTACTGTGAATATAAAAAGGATTTTAGTCTGCAAGTGCATCAGCTCAATTTGTAGGCACCAATTTTGTTATGGATTTGGTAACGAGAATATAAGCTAAACTTATGTCTTTGGAGAGCAGGGAGACAAGCTTTTAGCTGTCTGTGGCAAAGATACTGCAATGGATTCATAATGGATTTCAAATTTGTGCACTGGATTGAATGGTTTTAACTATTAATTTTTTTTTACTGCCAACTCAGCATACAGAAGGTTCAGCATTCAGATTCAGTATCTGAAAAGCAACCTGTGCTGCAGGTGAACATTTGAATTTGCACTCTCAATATCACTTGCAGGAGACATACAATTGGTAGGTGCTCTCAGGGATTAACATACAGATATTAACATGTTAGAATTAGGGGCTGAAAACTAAGCCAGTTTTCTAGCCCTTTGTACTTTACTGTGTATATGTGTATAAATATGTGATATTTCCATTAAAAGAAGCACAAACTGTCAAACTTATTTGGCGATCTTATTCTTCAGGGTGGTTTGAACACGCTGTCTTTCACTTTTCAGTAGATCAAAAAGCCCACCCACTTTCCCCAATGGACTAATCAGTATCATCTGAAAGCAGTCTGGTTTCCCTGTAAGGAGCTATTGTGGGTTAACCTCCACTCCTTGTGAATTTTTCCCTAGGAGTAAAAGGAAACCTCTACATTTGTCCCAGCATCAACCTTTGATGGCCACCTTGGTCAAGAGAGAAGCTATCGCTTTGATGACATGCAGCCACGTTACTCTGCTGCAAGCAGGCAGTCCCCTGGCATCCTTACAGACAGCATGGATCCATTCTGTGCATCTGTGTAAAGCTTTGCACTAGCTGGGTTGGGAAGTGCAGGCATAGGTCTCTCCTCATTGCCTTCATCCCCTGCTGCACCACTGCACCCCCCCCAGCTGTCTTACTCCTCCTCTTCATTACCATACTCACCAAAGTGCTGCGCCTCTCTCTTGCTCTTCTTATTGTCTGTCTGAAGGATCTGAAGGTTGGGAAAAGCTCCCCCAAAGCATGCTTCCAGAAACCTGTGCAAATGGACCATAGTAGTGGAAGCTGCACGCCTGGCTTGAGCTGCTGCCACCAAGGTGGATATGATTTCTAATGGATTCCAGCACAAACAGAATGGTTTGTGTTTTGTTGTTGTTGTTTTTCAAGAGACCTGTAACTATGAAATGCCAAGCAATACCAGCTGTACTTCACATTGCTCCTGGTCACTCAAGCAGCTCATCAGTTTACCTCCTAAAACCAGTATGCGAACCCATGGCAGTACCTCCTGGGAGCTGGAGCCCCTGAAGAAAGGCAGAGATGCTGCTGTAGGAGGATGCTCCCACAGAGGGGAAGGGGACACTGATTCCTAGGGTGGAGAAAGGTTTTTTACAGGCCTTCAATGCCAGTCTGGCATGTTAGTGGGAACAATGCTTCTGAGCATTGTGAGTGAAGCTGGAGCAAGGGCTGTGTCTGCCTTCACTGCCATTGCTTGTCTCTGTACACTGTAAGCTTTGGCTTGACAGCCAGGTTCTCACCATCTAATGCTCACTCACTGGGGAGCAAACAGCCCAATGAGCTGGCTGACTTCTACAGTAAGCAAAAGCAATTTAATACAGTGACGGTATAAAGCGAAATGCCAAGCACTTCCCAATGTTCTTGAAAATCATATTGTGCTCTTGTCTCTGGAGAGCAAAGGTGTCACAAGGAAGAGATCACTAACCCTGCAGAAGGCTTTTCAGGCAGGAACACAGAATTACACATAATTGGATCCTTGTGCCACTACGTATGATTCATTTGGGGTTTTTAATGCCAATGAAAACTGTTCCTTAAGCCTTGACAAAAATCCTCTCTGGGCCTCTCCACTGAATGCCTTTTTCTTAATAGTTCTGAATGCTCATGCTAATCTGCCATGGGACAGATACCAGAGCAGCTGGTAAAAAAACACCTTGGATAGAAAAATGTAACATTCTTTGAGGGTATTTCTTTTATAGACATCTACATTTCTGCAGGAAACACCCGAAGTATGACTGAAATTAGGACCTGATATGCAGGGTATGCCAATTTACAGGTGGTTTGTGCTGCTGAAGCCTCCTCTTTTGTTCTCTGATCCATACGATGCAGCCTGGTTTTGCTGGGTCTGCTCATTGTGCCTCAAACACTCCACAGTTTGGTTAGATACCCAGAGGTGGCAGGTAGTCCACAGGCTGGAAAGGGAAGCCATGTCCCTCTCTTCCTGCCCATGAGTTCCTATGTGCCCCCAGAAAACCTGGCATTTTATGGATTAATATTCTGCCAATTTAATGAGCTAGACAAAAGTGCTGGAGCCAGTTCAGGGAAGCAAGGAAGGGAAGGGGCAGGACCGTGTCACTCAGAGCCATCCATCTGCTGGGTGGCTCAGTCAGTGCTCCAGGCTGTGCCCAAAGCAGTGAGGAAGAGCTCCACTGCACAAGTTAGGCAGCTCCAGGAAAAGTCCAGCTGTGTGACACACACAGGTGACACCCTCTTACAGATATTTGTATCTCTTCTGAGCCCCAAGGAAAGGGGCTTGGACAGTTTTGCAGATGGTCAGGAAAACTGCAGCCCCTCTCTGCTCCTTTGAGCGCTCTTCAGGAAGATATAACAAGTACCAGCAAGAAAGCTGCTTAGCGACTTCAGCCATAAAGTAGGGCAGAATTGGAAGTTATCCTCACTTTTTCTTTCTTTTAAATTATCCCAGGTAGAATTATAAACCCATATGGACATTTGGTTCATTTAAAGAGCTTCTTCATAACTTCGATAATTACACACCCAGAGAGTGTATTCAGCAGAGAGAGCAGCTGAGATCTCCACCCGCCCTCTTCTCAAGGCAAACGGAAACTGGACTGACAGTTCATTAGAATCTCCATATAGTAAATTCTGCAACTAAATCTTTGAATCCCAAGTCACTGACAACTGCTAAGCTAACATTATCACATATAACAATAACAGTGGGAAGGGATAAGCCCTGGAGGAGTGGACAAGAGGTAATGGAGGCTGGGGGGGGGGGGGGGGGGGTAGGAGTGGGAGGGAAGAAAATACATCTATGTCTGTGGTATGTCTCTGATTTAAAACAATATTGGCTTTTTGACCCAATTTTTTCTGACTATTCTGTAGACAAGAGTGAAAAGCCTTGCTCTGGTCTGCTGGTCTGCTAAGGAATATATTATTTTAAAAGAAATATTATATATATAATATATTTTATATATATAATATATTATATATATAATATATATAATATATTATATATATAAAATATATTATTTTAAAAGAAAGGGATTATTTTAAAAGATTATTTTAAAATATTTATATATTATAAATATATAATATATATTTTATATATATTATATATATATAATATATTATTTTAAAAGAAAGGGATTATTTTAAAAGAAAGGGATTATTTTAAAAGAAAGGGATTATTTTAAAAGAAAGGGATTCAATATGAGCCTCCTTCATATATATTTAGGAATTTATAAAATACATACATATTAAAAGGCTCTCACCTCCCAGTGATAACGTGAAACACTCAAATATGTTAATGATGACCATCGCTAAGAAAGCTAATATTAAATAATTGTTCTGTAAGAGGAACAAATCATTCAGGGTATAATATGGAGCCTACAAAGAGAAAACAGACCAGCTGCCTTTTCACTGAACACTGTGGAATGCTTACATGGAAAGAGGCAATGGATTCTGGGAAAAACTGTGTTTTGCTGGGTAATTAAAGTTGTTATGCATATTAATTTTGCCTAGTCAGGTTTAAATTTGCCACTTCTCTCAGCATGTTTGAATTTACAATGTTTGTGGCATTCTTTTATGGCTATAAAACTGCGCAGAGGTTGGTGGATAATTAGTGGGCCAAATGCTGCTGTTTCAGTCCACTCTTGGGAAAACAGAAGAGGTTGGGAAAAAGGACTCAGGCTTTTTCCCCTTCTCATTATAGCAGCTTCCCACATGAATGATAGTCTGCTGCTTTGCCCAAGCCCTTCCTCCCAAACAAATAAAAAATAAACAGAAATCCTCAAGCAGCAGATGTGCAAAATCCATGCTCAGAAGCATCAACCCGGATGCATTCGGTTGTTTCTCATAGGGCATTGATGGAACAGTGAGCTTTTGTAAATGTGGATCAAGAAAGGGGCACAGGAACTGCTCAAACATCTCTTGCTGTCTGTGTACCTGTGGTAATTTTACTTTCGGTGCCACAGTAACTGAAATCTTCTCAGGGCAGTGTTCATCACCAAAGGCGCTTTCTGAGTCTCTATAGGCAGCCTTCTGCTGACAAACATGATAAAATATTTACTCTCCTACAGCATTCAGCAACAGGAGCTAAGTTTTCCTCGTGCTTACTGCCATTATACTGAAGCCAGCTTCTTGCAGAACCAGTAGCGTGGGGATGCTCTGAATGTTTGTGTGGCAGTGCTAGTGTGACATAAATCAATAAGCAATGCCATTAAGTAAAGACTCCCCTAAAAGTTCTGTTCCAAAACAAGGTGAAGCAGTGTTTCAAAAGAATATACAAACATAGCTGTATTGAAAGCAGACATGCTGTATTAACAGCTTGGCTGCTTTCACAGGGAAGAATAATGGCATAACTGTCACTCAGGATTTACCCAGTTTCCATGCAAGGGATACGTGGCCTTTGACCACCTGGTATCCTTTTCCAAAAGCTGCCATTGCAACCTCCTGAAGTGCATCGTTATAACTGAAATAAAACAGCATTTGCTTGGTGAGCAATACAAGTGAACAAACCAGACACATTAAGATAATTTTGCTTTGTTTTGCTCTTGAAAATTTGTTTAGCAAACTCAGATTTGAAACGTGCTCAGTTAAGAACATAATGGATGTTTTACACAATCACTTTTTCTTTTGTGGTTTATAAAAACTGTGGTTATTATTCTTCATACAATTGACTGTACTCACCTCCATTTTATTGTCATGGGCACAATGAGCAGTGTTTGCCTGTGGTTTCCCAGCAATTATGAGGCAGCCTTTTGCAAGAGTCCTTTTAGGCTTATGTAGGGTATTCTGCAACAGCATTCCAGAGAGTCTTGCATCAGCTCTTTGTTACAAGAAACTGTCAGCTACTCAGTGGCTGAGACACATGAACCAGGCTTCTTTGTATGGCAGCAGTCATCTCAGTCACAGTGACGGATGGGCACTGGTTTTGATCATATGCTCAAACAGAACTCTCCATGTTCTTGGGTAATCGCTTGCTTAACAACGTGCCCATTTATGATGCTTAAATACCCTGAATTGTCTTAGGGCTCCCATGACTGACTAAGATATTGTGCTCAGAGAAAGCCAAGGATAAAGGTGCTGGACTTACTTAAACTGCATGTCAGCTGGCCAATGAAGAACTAGGCAGGTCTTGTCTGTATTTAAAGACAAACCCAAAAATATAAAAAGTTGAACTGGTTTAACTGAAAAGTTAAGCTGAACAACTGTGTGCAGACTCCCTCGGGCTGGTTTTAATTGGGCTAATATTCACTTGTCTTAACCAATCAGAACCAGTCTAAGATTAAAGCAATATA